ACAACTCATCCCAGTCCCTCGGATGCTCTTCCTGGACATGGCTGGGTTGCTGGGGCAGCAGGAAGGCCAGGAGGGCCAGCACACTGTGGCTGTGGCACCCCGCTGCCTGCTGACTCGGACACCGGTGAGCCAGTTCCTCAGGAAGCAGCTGTCAGGGAGAGCATCCTCTTCCCTCCACCCAGAAAGCCCAGCACAGACCACAGCCTCTTCCATCCCAGCAGGAACTGGGGTTTTCCTCCCCAGTTTGAGCCTTGGGCAACAGGTTCCCGCTGGAATCATCCCACACAAGCAGCATGTCGGTGAGAAATCTCTCCAGCGGGGCCACGGCAGAGCTGTCAGCCACGGAGTTGGAGGTGGGGTAGACAGGGTTGACATTTTTATGGCTCCCATTCAACCAGAAGGTCAGCCAGCCCTAAACAAGCGCCCTAAACATATGCTCCCAGGTCAGAGTTACCCTGACCCTACGCATCCCCACTCTGAAACCTGGGTTCCCCATTCAAGGAGCAGAAAACAAATCTGGAATCTTACCTGAAGCTCCAAAATTAATGTGAGAGGTGGAAGGGGGAGTGAAGGGGATTCCTCCTTCCTCAGAGGGCTGCTAGTGGCCAGATCCTTCCTGGTGCTGCCTACTCCCCAGGAGGAGGTGGAGGGCATTGGTGGCCACATCCAGACAAGAGCTGTGGCTGAATGTAAGCCATGAGCTGTTGCCAAAAAGAGATGCACAGAAGCATCCCTCTCCCCTTCCCTGCTGCTGCTCCCTTCCTTGGGCTGGACAGGGGACAGGTCCTGGCAGGCGCTGCAGCACAGGCAGTGCAGGCAGCACCGGACACCATGTGGATTATTCCTTGGCTCTGAAACAATGGAGTGGCCACAGCAAGGAGCAGCGTGCCATGATGGGGTTGGCTGTCTGTCTGCACAGCTGGGAGCATGGAGGTGACCATCCCCAGTGCCGGCTCACTGGGTCATGGACAACTTGGACAAACAACTGCAGGGGAGCACTGGTGGCAGGGATGCAGCTGCGATGCAGCCGGGATGCCATCCCACCACCTCCTCTGGTCATGGGGACACGGAGGACCCTCAGCCAGGATGCTGGCAGCACAGCGGCCCCATGTAGCTGTGCCGGGAGATGTAATTGCCCCTCCATTGTGGGCTGTGGAGCATCCTGCTCTGGGCAGGCAAGCAGGCAGTGTGCCCGGCCGTCACGCTCCCGCATCCCCAGGCAGCCCGGCCCCACTGTGTCCCTCCTTGGGCAAGGCTGGCAGCCCTGATAGGTGGTGTCCTGTGCAGGGACAAGGACAGCAAGGAAAAGTGGTGCCTCCAGATCTCCAGGTCCTGCAGCCATTCCCAGTCAGGGCTTCCCACGAGGGACTGGAGCTGCTGGGCTGGCGCTGGTGGCAGATAACGCTGTTTCCGTGCTGGCTGCTCCCTATCAGTGTGGTGGCAGTGGGCAGACAAGATCGCACCCCAAGCGCGCCATGCTGGGGCGCCGTCGGGAAGGGGTCCCAGTCCCAGGGCAGTTTATTTTTACACGGGTTGTTTTCTTTCCGGCTTGACGCCGTCCCATGCAACAGCAAGAGACGGACCAGGGCCCCCACGCCTCATTTCCTTACCATAAAACAACAAAGCAGGGGGTGAAGCGGCGCGCCGGGCCGGAGCAGTGGGTCGCAGGGTCAGGGTACATGCTGCTCTGTGGTTCCTCCATGTGCTTGGCCCCATCGGCCACCCCCAGATCGGCATCCATGGCTGTGCTGCCATCACACTGCCCTTCATGAGGGCTGGATTTTGGGCTCCTGACTGCATATCCATGTGCCGGTGGGAGCAGATGCACAGCAGGCACTGCCTGCACATCCCAATTAAGGACCAGCCCCCACCTCCCCACCACAGCCAACCCGTCCCGAGCCTGCAGTGCTCCTGTCATGTGTGTGCTCCACACCATCATTGCCCAGGGAATGCAGCCAGTCCTGCCAGTGGGACATGGGACAAGGGATGGCTCTTGTCCCCCTCCACTGGGGTTTCACTGGGGCTTTGTATGGGGCATCATGGGGTCCCACCAGCCCTGGTGGGGCACTCCGCTCCCCGCCACTCTACCCTCAAAGCTGGGGGCAAAGCTGGGAGTTAGGCACGCAGGCAGTGTGTGGGCAGCATACAGGCAGCATGGGGGCACATGGCAAGGCCACTGTCTGGGTACAGGGGGCAGGCAAGGGGCCAGGGGCACCCACCCCAGCTCCAGGCTGCGAGCAGGGGGTTGGGAAAGGCGTGTGTTTCCCTTTAAGAGGCAGGCCCTGGAGCTGCTTCCTCTCAGCCCTGCAAGAGCCCTAAACACAGTGCATCTGCCTGCAGCCTGCCTGCACGTCTGCCCGCACGCCTGTCCGCACCCAGTGTGAGTAGGGCTTGGCCCTGGAGCTGGGGCTGGGGAGGGCTGGCACCCCGGGGTGGTGAGTGCCCTGCTTGCCGTGGAGGGCAGGGAGGGATGGCATTGCCATGGAGAGTGCCTGGCATCGCTGCAGAAGGTGCTGGGCATCGCTGCGGTGGGTGTTGCAGTGTGATGCTTGCCAGCATTGAGGTTGAGGACGCCAGGCCCCCTTGGCTGTCGGCACTGCTGGGTTCTGGGGGGTGGCTGGGCACTGGGCGCACAGCGGGTCCAAGGCTGGTACCCTCCAAATCGAGGTGTGAAGCTGTGGATGCTTCAAGCCTGCCCTGTCTGTGCGGGCAGCACGTGGCAGTGGGCCTGCCAGGCTCTGGTGCCTCTGGCTTCGCCACGCTCTCGGGGCTGCGCTGGCCATCGAGTGGGAGCACCCCACACCCACCAGCTACTGCAGACATTGGTGGGTGATGAGCACAGGCTGTGCCCTGCAGAGAAGTGATCTGGTGGCACTAGGGGCATGAAGGCATGGATGGCATGGAGAGCGCCCGGCAGCGAGCCACCCATGGTGAGAGCAGCCA